TTCTTCTTCTTCTTCTTCTTCTTCTTCTTCTTCTTCTTCTTCTTCTTCTTCTTTCTTCTTCTTTCTTCTTCTTCTTTCTTCTTCTTCTTCTTCTTCTTTTCATCTTTCTTCTTCTTCTTCTTCTTCTTCTTCTTTTTTCTTCTTCTTTTCTTCTTCTTCTTCTTCTTCTTTCTTCTTCTTCTTCTTCTTCTTCTCTTCTTCTTCTTCTTTCTTCTTCTTCTTCTTCTTCTTCTTCTTCTTTCTTCTTCTTCTTCTTTCTTCTTCTCTTTCTTTCTTCTTCTTCTTCTTCTTCTTCTTCTTCTTCTTCCTCTTCTTCTTCTTCTTCTTTCTGCTTTTTCTTCTTCTTTCTTCTTTGTCGTCTTTCTTCTTCTTCTTCTTCTTCTTCTTCTTCTTCTTCTTCTTCTTCTTCTTCTTCTTTCTTCTTCTTCTTCTTCTTCTTCTTCTTTCTTCTTCTTCTTCTTCTTCTTCTTCTTCTTCTTCTTCTTCTTCTTCTTCTTCTTCTTCTTCTTCTTCTTCTTCTTCTTCTTCTTCTTCTTCTTCTTCTTCTTTTTCTTCTTCTTCTTCTTCTTCTTCTGCTTCTTCTTCTTCTTCTTTTTCTTCGTCTTCTCCTTCTTTGTCTTCTTCTTCTTCTTCTTCTTTTCTTCTTCTTCTTCTTCTTCTTCTTCTTCTTCTTCTTCTTCTTCTTCTTTCTTCTTATTCTTCTTCTTCTTCTTTCTTCTTCTTCTTTCTTCTTCTTCTTCTTTTTCTTCTTCTTCTTCTTCTTCTTCTTCTTCTTCTTCTTTTTCTTCTTCTTCTTCTTTGTCGTCGTCGTCGTCGTAGTTGTGATTATCGTCGTCGACGTGACATACTACTACTTTTACTACTGCTAGTGCTACTGCTGCATCTGTTGCTACCAGCAATGCTGCTGCGGCTACTGCTGCTTCTGCTACCACTACTAGTACTACTAACGCAACTAAAAGAAGAATGCTGAAGGATGTGGAATGGAAACCGTGGACTTCCGTATAAGCCCCCCCCCCCCCTTTTCCCAGCATTCTAACCGTTCGGCTGGCCGCAAGAATGTAGACATGAATAGCACCAGGACATTTTCTTGTCAGTAAAGGCTGCCGGTGGCACATTAACAACAGCACCCATTGAATGCAGTTTTGTCTCTAAACACTGTGGAAGCACTGTGTTCATCTCCTATACATTGAATGCAGGTTAATTACCCGCGGGACGGTGAACGAAGCCAGGGAAACGATACTAAAGAAGCCGATATCAATCACTACACAAACACACACGTTCTTTTACTGCATTACCCCCAGGAGATTCCCAATGTCGGTGCCGAGACTTAGTCTTTTGTGAAGTGCAGCCAGACTTATTAAAATGTTACGCAAGTGGCAAAGAACAGGTCACCCCACCTCATACTGTTCCAGGACCATTTTTGCGCTAATAGCGAATCGGGCGTCGGTGTTGCCGACACGCAGAAGACATTTAGATGAGGGAAGAGGGTACGCTCACCCACTCCCACCCATTTGTAAAAAAAATGTTGGCGGAGGATGGGTTCATTCCTTGTTTAAGAACATAACAAAAATAATAATAATGTGCTTCCCCCCCCCCCCCACCCCCCCCCGCAAAAAAAAACATAATAAAATCATTTGAATTCACATAATTAAATCATTTGAATTCACCTGAAATGTTTCACTAACTATTTTGAAAATAATTTCTACATGAGGATAAATTGGTCCCTTAGCCCCTTAACAAATTTTCAGCTGAGAAAAGTTGTGTACGTGATGCGAACTCTAAAGGCGATGTGGGGTATTTCAGGCTCAACTCATGTGTCACACAGGCCGCCTTTACGTCCCAGGATACTAGCTGGTGGCCATTTTAGGCTAAGTCAAACTGGCGGCCAAGGTAAATTATAAAGAGAAACAAATGTGTCCTTATGTTAATGAAACCTTCACCAATATGAACTAGTGCAAGGGGGTACATTAGTGATGTAAATGCAGATCATTGTTAGAAGTTGAAGTAGATCTATGCACATTACTGTTCACAGACACGACTGGTCAGCTGTGGCTGAACCATCTGGAAGGTGAACACATGAGTTCTTAGACAGAAGCACTAGGTCAAGGTAAAATGATTGTGTATGTTTTTTTTGTTTTTTTTTTTACTTTTTGCAATGTCCGCTCTTTGATTACAATGGCTTCCAGGCTGTGGTCATGGGCGACATGTCCCCATAAGTCGCGGTTGATTTGTTTAGGCCACAGGTCTCAAACCTTTCTTAGCGGGCGCCCCCTCCTCCACCTTAAGGGTATGACAAGACACCCCCCTCCCACCATACCCCTTAGGTTGGAGAGCACTTTTATAGGCTTACAGACTGGCCCAACCTAATATGGTTACCGGGAAAGTTTCTGGAAAGTGAAAGTGTGAAGCTTGGTAATGAAATAATATGTTGATTGTTTCAACCTTTGCAACGCCGACATCCAGACACAGAATCAGACAAGCAACTTATAGCAATAAATATTGTTGGCCTACTTTACTTTTTTAATCAACTTTGCGTGCATTAATTTCCCTGAAAGTTTTAATTACTTTACTTTCTTTATCAACATTTACTTCTCCTTTCAACTCTTTATAAACTTTGCTTAGTATGCATTGTTTACCATGTACTTCTCTTTCTTTATCAACTTTATTTAACTTACTTTCTTTATCAACTTTTACTTCTCCTTTCAACTCTTTATAAACTTTGCTTAGTATGCATTGTTTACCATGTACTTCTCTTTCTTTATCAACTTTATTTAACTTACTTTCTTTATCAACTTTTACTTCTCCTTTCAACTCTTTATAAACTTTGCTTAGTATGCATTGTTTATCATGTACTTCTCTTTCTTTATCAACTTTATTTAACTTACTTTCTTTATCAGCTTTCACTTCCTTTAATTTCTCTACCAATTATACGTACTTCGATTTCTGCACAATTTTACTTACTTTACTTTCTTTACCATCTTGTACTTCCTTTGAATTCTGTATCAGTCTTGATTACTTTGCTCACTTTACCAAAAGTATTTTACATTTTGTAACTCTCTTTCTTTCTTTCTTTCTTTCTTTCTTTCTTTCTTTCTTTCTTTCTTTCTTTCTTTCTTTCTTTCTTTCTTTCTTTCTTTCTTTCTTTCTTTCTTTCTTTCTTTCTTTCTTTCTTTCTTTCTTTCTTTTTTTTCTTTAAAATTACATACTTCACTTTTTGTATCAATTATATTTACTCTGCTTTCTTTATCAGCTATGCTTCAGTTCCCATAATAATTTTATTTAACTTATTTTCATCTCCGTTTTGCCTGCTATAAATAATGTGATGATAAACTATTCTTAGTTTAGTTTTTGTATTACCTTTACTAACTTTAATACGTCTATCAAAGCAATATTTCCGTTGTGAAATTGAACAAAGAAGACACAAACAAAAGATCACATAAGTTATGGCCTAAGATATTTTGCTTTAGGTGCAGCTATAGTAGCAGTTCCTTTTAAATGAAGCAAAAAACACGAATCCTTCTAACTGAAACACAAAATTGACTACATTCAAAAGCAACTGTCTGTTTCGCCACAGCAAATGCAGGGGGAACGACCATTTCTTTCTCTCTGTATAATTCTGAACTTAACAGGTCTATCGTCGTAACGTCAATTTCTCGAGAAATGGCTGATTGTTGGAGGTGTACGTTGTAAATTCGGGCGATGCATTTCCAAAATGTATTTCTCGAGACTTTACCTGGTACCTATTTAAGGCGGGATCATTTTTGAAATAAATTTCGGTTCCGTTAAGATTTGAACTACCGACCTTCTGATCCGCTAGCGAAAGCCTAGCCGCTACACCACGGTGGCTCTAAATTAGATACCAGGGTACAATAAAACGAGGAGGAAAGTTGACATCAGGGGACAATAAATAGTTATGGAAATTTGATATCAGGGGACAATAATTAGAAGAGGAAAGTTGACTTCAGGGCACAATAAATAGCGGTGGGATGTTGACATCAGGGGACAATAAACATAGGAGGCAAGTTGACATCAGGGGACAATAAAACGAGGAGGAAATTTGACATCAGGGGACAATAAATAGATATGGAAAGTTGATATCAGGGGACAATAATTAGAAGAGAAAAGTTTACTTCAGGGCACAATAAATAGAGGTGGGATGTTGACATCAGGGGACAATAAACATAGGAGGAAAGTTGACATCAGGGGACAATAAATAGAGGAGGAAAATTGGCATATGGAGACAACCCTTTCGCCCCTAGAAGCCACAAAACCGACACTTCGTTGGGTTCAATTCTCCGTAAATGTCACTTTCACGGCCTTTAAATAGCGACCTGTTAACCAGATTCATAATTATTGTGCTTGTTTGCCTACATAAACGTTGAGGGGGTCAGGGTATAAATACATTAACTAAAAACAGCGTTTATGATGTTTTCCTTTAAACTAAAAGTTTTTATAATGTCACGTTGACCTAAAATTGCCCGTAAGCCTTAGTGATTAAGGTCACAGGGTCACACGACGAGTCACCTGATACTTGTGTTTTAAAGGCCCTTGGAAAAGTATCTATTTAGTGCTTCACGCTTATCGTGTATTCACTACTCCCTTCATATATCTTTATACATTTCAAGGTAGAACGTGCAGATAACAAAAAAAAATTCACGAATTTATTATTACCTGTGTAAAAAAAAAGTGTTGCTTTTGTTAACTCATTTTGACAAATGAGTTAAAAAAGCAACACTTTTATACAGGTACTAATAAAATAATAAGGGGCTTATTATTAATGCATATTCCTTTATTTTAGGGGTAAATAAATTATTAGTCCAAAAATTATAAAAGAAATTCGCCGAAAACTGCAGCATCAGTGCTACTGTAATTCATAAAATCATTAGGATATGGGAAATCTAAAGCCAAGTGCAAAAATTCGTGTCCATCCCTATGAGTTTTTGGAGATATTGGTTAAAGTGGGACCGCATGAGTTTTGAATTGCACTATCACCATCATCATCAAGTGCCTTGATGAATGGCGTTAGGGATCACGCCTCTGCACATTCTGCGGAGTGTGTCAGTTGACACCCCTCCATGCCATGACGGTAGACTCCATGACGGTAGACTGCATGACGGTAGACTGCATGACGGTAGACTGCATGACGGTAGACTCCATGACGGTAGACTGCATGACGGTAGACTCCATGACGGTAGACTGCATGACGGTAGACTCCATGACGGTAGACTCCATGACGGTAGACTGCATGACTGTAGACTCCATGACGGTAGACTCCTTGACGGTAGACTGCATGACGGTAGACTCCATGACGGTAGACTGCATGACGGTAGACTGCATGACGGTAGACTGCATGACGGTAGACTCCATGACGGTAGACTCCATGACGGTAGACTGCATGACGGTAGACTGCATGACGGTAGACTCCATGACGGTAGACTGCATGACGGTAGACTGCATGACGGTAGACTCCATGACTGTAGACTCCATGACGGTAGACTGCATGACGGTAGACTCCATGACGGTAGACTCCATGACGGTAGACTCCATGACTGTAGACTCCATGGCGGTAGACTCCATGACTGTAGACTGTCAAGAATGTTCTCTCAGTGTCTTCCTCTATCTCTCTTTCCACAGACCTATCCAGTGGTCACAACATGTTCCAGTTCCCCTCTTTTCATAACATGACTAAATAATAATGACTTCTCTTTCTGGTGACTGTGAGAAGTTGTTTTCGATCCCTCCCCTTTTTTTTTCAAACATCTGGCCTGCTCTTTTTAGGTGTCTATGATTCTTTTGTAAAACCACATCATCGAGGCCTCCAGAAATTGTTCGGCACTTTAGACCCACATTTTCACCAATCGACATTGGCAGACAACGTAGCCTAATTCACAACGGTCGCCTGTACTTCCTGAATATTTCCTATACCATCATGTGTTTTATAATCAGTAATTCAAGGCTTCTTCCTATTCTTCTTCTTGTTATCGCTATTATCAACACCACAGATACGTCAGTGGTCCCCAAATCTCTGAAAGTATTCCGTCTTTCCTTTATACAGATGGGGAGCCGCCGTGATGTTGCGATTACACGCTGGCCTACGAACCTGAGGGTAGTGGGTTCAAATCCTAACAGAGTTTGACTTTTTTTTTTCTTCAGACATGACTTTGGCTTCCAAATCGACCTAGCCTTAAATAGGTCCCAGGTGACATGTTGGGAAATAAAGGCGACCGGTGTGATATGACTACATCCTGCGCCAACTGGTCTCTAGAATATAGGCTTAGCACTATATCCTATATACGCCTGGAGATGTGGGTGGGGGGGGGGGGTCGTTTACTTTGATACCCTTGAGTTTCTCTAAAAAGCCAGGTCAACAAATAAGCTTAGGCAGTGCCCTGTAGTTTAAGAATTAGTGTGTTTGCATGTGTCTCAGTGTGTGTGAAAAAAGGGGAGGGGGTAGGGGGGGGGGGGGTCCTTGTTTGTCTTATAATCGATCAATCAATGCTTGCGAATACATACTTCTTATTGTACTCTCTGCCTCAATGTATAACCCTAAGGGGCTTATTTTGTCAAATTGCGTACCACTAATGACTCGACATGTCCCGTCTGCACAGCTAAGCAGACGCTTGAGTAAGTATTGTCCGTGTGAAGAAAAGCCTTAGGTCAGGGACGAAACACATGGCGCAACAATAAGGTCCTGAACGAGCTGGCCGACATTGTGGACAAAACCAGGATAAGGGCACACTCGAGGGTCAGTCCCAACGTCCCTCCCATGCGTTTTCTCATGGCTGGGCAGATATCTAAAGATAATTTCTACAAAATTGCAACGTTCCATCCATGCTCGACTGTGCGAGTGACTGGCAACTGGCAGTTGACCTGTCTGGCTTTGAGAATACTCTAAAGCAATTTGAAAGACTGGCCTGAGAACAGACATGGATTTTGAACTCTCCAGCAGATCGCCAGTTCCTCCCGGTAGAGCTCAGTGTGTCGTACGAGTTGCCAGTAGAAGAAAACTATCTGCATAAGCTCCAGAAATACAGTGAAATGGTAGCCAGTCTAAGGAGTGACGAGGGGGTGCGTAGTAAACCTCCTCGTCGTCGAGGTAGGTACAAGAGGGCTGATCGCCACCTTTACATACAATGTACTAAAGCACCTAGGCTCGCGAGGAGAACAGCGTAAGCAGGCACTAAAACAACTGGGTGAAGCTGCTAGAAGGGTTTTGAGCTAGCCGTGGACGCAAGAGAACGTCGTTGGAGATATGCCTCAATAGACTGGTCCGACCACATAGTGGGGGAAAAAAACTGTAAATCCCTAAAGCCAAAGATTATTGTCTGCCCGTGCTACTGCCAATTACCAAAGTTTGTCCGATAAACTAACCGTCCACTTTTCACTCTGGTCGTGAAGGTAGGCGCCTAATTTGGTACCGCAGCGACTATATGTGTAACTTCATAACCTCACTACCTGTTGCAAAACCACCACATCGTCTTGTCCGAATGTCAGCTAAAGGCAGCAGAAAGCGTTGGAGGCCTGGGAGTCATGACCCAGGTTGGCGAGCCCTGCGTAATCGTCTTGGAGGATAATAGGCCAACAATTGTTGAAAGAGGGACCACCCGACTGATTATCCGTAGTTCCTGCTGTGAATGCTCCTGCTGTGGAGTTCTTTTTCTGATCAATATTAAATGACTTTTCAGTTTGTGAAGAGAAGTTAGATAACGTTAACACTACTAGCTGCAGTGCCTAACACCTGAGCACACTCTTAAAGCCTTACAAATACAATCAGTATATCTATTTATGTCCCCGAGTATCCTTGGCCATCTAAGTCAAGTGGCTTTTTTTTTTAAATACAGATGCCATGACTTACACACCCTCGGCTCGGTACTAGGGATATCCTAACCCTTCTGCCTCGACTCCATGAGAGATACTGTAAATCTTGGAAATATGTGGCTCTTCTGCCTACCCTCGGAGCGTGAACTCGGACCACAAGGCGTGTGTCACCCGGTCAACGCACAGTTGGTTTAACGCCCGGCCTAGAACAAGTTAAACTGGGACAGTCACTTGCAGTTAAAGAATTAGAGTTGTGTGCTTTACATTGTTTAAAGCAGTTCTCGAAGGTTTTCTAACCACTGTCGCATTACACCCCACACCCATCGAGTCTTGAAGCTGCCCACGTCTTGTCACCTCTATGTAAATTAGGCACTTTCTTGGACTTTTCTCCATAGGTAAACAGTCCTTCTTTTGTACTTATTTGTCAAGGTATCGGGTTAAGTACTCAGTTAAATCTTAGTTTATTTAGGATTGATATATATTTCAACTCAGTCTTATAGGTGGAAGATTTATTGATAGTTAGGCCTAATTCCAATGGCCTAACTGCCGCTTTGGAAGCGAATGAATCCCTTCCGCCTCTAACTGGAGAGACGCTTAGTTTGAACTCATTCTTGACTGAGCTTCCCGAGAGTGAACACACGGCTGCTGCTTTTTCTGTCTTATTTGTTTGCCACCGTTTGAATCACCGATTCATCCGGGCACCTCCATGAGCATGGGATGTTAGTAATATCTGGAGGCCCAGTCAACGATCGGTATACTAGCACTATCTAGTGTAACCCACAGCCAGCTTACAGGGTGAGGGATCCTCAGCGAACAACTCCTTTTTGTCCATGAACCATGTCAATAGCTTCATAGCCAACAACTGTCTGTTGTTCTGTGATGTGCATCATCAGCTTGAACCCAGAAGACTTTTGTTACAACTACTACGACCAGAGAGTGGCATAAGGTAATTGTTAACACTAATAAGTAACACAGACTCATAGACCGTAACATAATATAAATTTTTATGAACACTTATGTGTGGTAGAGAAAGCAGTCAAAGTTCTGTTAATCTTAGTGACTGATATAGAAGATTCAAGATGGAATTCACCAGATGTCAAACATTCACTGCTAGATGTAGAAGGAAGCCTCAACCCAACTGAACAGGATATCCTGTCTGGGGGCTTAAAAGAAGTCAATCCACGTTGCGCCCAGGAATGTTTATTGATTCTGTAGTGTCATAATTTGAGTCACCCCACCCCTAAAGTAGTTTGGTTGTTCATTGGAGCTGCGGGATACCGCATAGACCATCGCGAGCCAACATCGCAACACTGAAACTACTTCAGACAGCTTTTTGGATCTTTAGGGAAACCCTCATAAAAGCAGTTGACACCAGCATTGTGTGACAACCAGCTTCAGCTTGGACAGTCTCCTGCAGTTTGAGTATTAATGATTAGGAGAGTGTGGTTCACACAGGCTCTCCCGTGTCTACCACAGCAATCATTTTGTAATCGATTCCGCATTGTCCCCTATTTACTCGTCTCTTCCGCTCGCTAATTGAGTTAACTTATTTCGCAGACATTGTTGACCGGGCAAGCGATTTGCGGCATTTCTGTTTCTACGTCACGGCCATGCGCCCCTGCTGTCCCGGACAAAGGAAAATCCGTGAAAAATTGGATTTTCCTCTGGTAATATCGATAAATCTGGGGAGATGGGTGATATGGGGAGGGGGAAATTAGGTAGTTACCAGGGTTTAATCCATACAAACAGCTTGGAGCCACTTACAGTTGGAGAAGTGGCGAATTCCATAGATGTGATCACAAGTAAAACAGCTTATGGTTGAATGATACATTTGTTTTAGTTGATGGAGTGCTGTTTTTACCGCAGACGGACATCTCCATAAGTGCCCTAGCCAGAACTGGAAATGGGGTCCCCTTACAGATTTTCTAGTAGCAGGGATTCACAAAGTGTTCAGGCCTTGTTTAAATGCATAATAACACTAGTGTGCTGTTATAAATAACACATTTAAAATAAGCTACAAGCATAAAGAAACATTTAAAAATAATACTTCTACCAATATTTTATCGGGGAGGCGCGCTAAGTGCAAATTTCCCTACCCGCCCATAAATTGGGAGGGAGACCCTAATTTACACCCCCCCCTCCCCACTCCCCTTTTCCCCCTAATTGTTGGGAGTGTTGAGACTCATGGTACCCAAGACCCCAGTATCTCCTGGTGTACATCACACAAGATGAACCCTATCAAGACCCCAGTATCTCCTGGTGTACATCACACAAGATGAACCCTAGCAAGACCCCAGTATCTCCTGGTATACATCACACAAGATGAACCCTAGCAAGACCCCAGTATCTCCTGGTATACATCACACAAGATGAACCCTAGCAAGACCCCAGTATCTCCTGGTATACATCACACAAGATGAACCCTAGCAAGACCCCAGTATCTCCTGGTATACATCACACAAGATGAACCCTAGCAAGACCCCAGTATCTCCTGGTATACATCACACAAGATGAACCCTAGCAAGACCCCAGTATCTCCTGGTATACATCACACAAGATGAACCCTAGCAAGACCCCAGTATCTCCTGGTGTACATCACACAAGATGAACCCTAGCAAAGTGCACCAAATGTGGAGCATCTGTGAGCATCGATATA